TGTATAATGCTCAGGACACCTCACTAACATGGACACTTTCTTCTGTCCCATTGGTGTCTGGATTAGAGGAGTTCCACTGTATAATGCTCAGGACACCTCACTAATATGGACACTTTCTTCTGTCCCATTGGTGTCTGGATCAGAGGGGTTCCACTGTATAATGCTCAGGGCACCTCACTAATATGGACACTTTCTTCTGTCCCATTGGTGTCTGGATCAGAGGGGTTCCACTGTATATACACTGCTATAGGCTCGTATTCTTTGCAGTGAGTCTAATGCCAGTACAATGGAGGACTTGGTTCCTGGAGTATAGTGGGAGGTAGCACGTTGGACACATCACCCAGACAGATATACTGCCGATATATCCCTCCTACATGTACCAACCTACACCTCTTGTATAGATATAGGATAGGATATGAGGGAGCTATAAGGTTTTTTCTGTACTTTACTCAATGGGTATGAGCAGCAATTCTGCACAGCCAGCTGAGCTGCCTCAGTAGCTCAGTTGGTAGAGCCCTCTCTAGGACACAGAGTGCTCTGCCTTGCTCTGTATGAGTGATTCAGCCCAGCCAGCTGAGCTGCCTCAGTAGCTCAGTTGGTAGAGCCCTCTCTAGAACACAGAGTGCTCTGCCTTGCTCTGTATGAGTGATTCAGCCCAGCCAGCTGAGCTGCCTCAGTAGCTCAGCTGGTAGAGCCCTCTCCAGAACACAGAGTGCTCTGCCTTGCTCTGTATGAGTGATTCAGCCCAGCCAGCTGACCTGCCTCAGTTGGTGGAGCCCTCTCTAAAAAAACTCCAAGACAACTATGTTCCTAACAGGACAATATTAGGAGGACAACCTTTCATAGAAGGATATCCTCTTAAAACTCAGGACATCCCTTTTGTAGTAGGATTTCATTGTCCTCTTATAACACAACATGTCGTTGGAATTTCAGAAATGCACAATAGATGTCCATCTCTCAAGGGTTTAGCAACTACTAATTTGGTCATAACACTGTTCCATACATAGCCTTGCTACTATATATAGTAACAGAGGGTAGCGAGAATGACTGAAGGGGGCACATATTTTGCATACTTTTTGTCCTGTGTTGACCCGAAAGGGTGGAAGGAATCTTAAGAATGAAGGAGCAAATGAAGTACAGTAATGAAGCAAAACGACAGGGAGGGGGGAGAAAAGGTTAGAGAGAGGGGTGAGGAGATAATATGGAGGAAGGGAGAGGAAGGGAGAGAAAGATGGAAGACAGAGAAAGATGAAAGAGAGATGGAAGAAAGGAGAATGGGAGAGAGAATGAGAGGTAAGGGATGAGAGAGAGAGGGAGTGAGAAGCAGAGAGAGAGGGAGAAAGGGGAAGACTAAACAGCCACATTCCTCGCTGCCACTCACAGCCGGGGTATACAGAACACAGCTGGCAGGCCGCAATGGGTGTGCATTGTTACCGAAAGACATTTTGACTGCACCAGCCCTCAAACAAACCCCTGAAATGCATACACAACATATACTTTGGTAAAATACCTACAATCAGCGAGCAAACTGACCCTACACCCCTAGTCCTCTAAATGTGCAACTTTTCCACCTTATGTATTTGACAATGACAAAATGGCACTGTTGCACATGCATACGTACTCAACCATTATGTGGTGCACATCTGTTAGCCCTCGCCAAATAGTCTTCCATTGTACGAATAAGGAAACATGATGTATGTACAGCTCTGTAAATTCCTGTGTGCCCCCTCCCTAACTAACACTAATAGGGGCCATAAAGAGGCTTTACACAAAAGAGAGGGAAGTGGGCATTGGTAGGTATTCCAGCTACAAGTGGCAATGTACGGGAAACCCGCAATGGAGTGATGAGGGTGCAGACACGAAATTCCTGGAAACTGTCAGCAGCTTGTAGATTCGGTAAAACAGAATACAGAGCGAGGGAAATATGTGGGGACAACAGTGTCTGACGAGTTAATTCACAGGGTCTCCCTCTCCCATAGCAGGCAACACCTTGGTTGCTGTGGGAACAAGTCTGGAGTCTAGAGCAAGTGATTAAGAGGAACTAGAGAGGTATTTCCTGTTCTCTGGTAAACCTTTACTTCTCATTAGTGGTTTACAACGGAAGTTTGGCAGCGCAAGAAGAGAGTTGAATCAGGGTAGGGATCAGAAGAGAGGGGGAGGGGGGAGGAAAGAGGGAGAAGGAAGGAGGTAGAAAGTGTGTGGAGGAGGTAATGAAAGGGAGGGAGAGGTGGGAGATAGAAAGAGAGGGAAGAGGGAGAGGGTGGGTAGGTAAAGAAGAGGGGGAGAGGGGAAAGGAGACAGTCCTCCCAGCAGCTAATAACCACTCAATCATCACCACTCTCACTATGCTCACCAAATTCACACCCAGCACCACAACAGCAGTCACAGGCAGGAATGCTGATATCATAATCTGGTATAATACCAGGTGAGTGGAAGGTCATATAGACATCCTCTGCCCACAGACAAGAAGCCTTTCTTCTCTTCCTGACAACTGAAGCAACTGACTTCCTCCACTAGTGAGGGTCATTTCAGGCAGGCCTCATTTCAGGCAGGCCTGGTAAGACACATCCCCTGCCTGCAGTCGAGAAACCTTTCTTCTCTTCCTGACAACTGAAGCAACTGACTTCCTCCACTAGTGAGGGTCATTTCAGGCAGGCCTCATTTCAGGCAGGCCTGGTAAGACACATCCCCTGCCTGCAGTCAAGAAACCTTTCCCTTTCTTCCTTTCTTCCTGGCATCCTGAAGCAGCAAAACTGACATCCTACATTAGGGGCTTAGATGAAGTGAACTCAACTCAATTCTTCACTAGAACAGGACTTACCCTCCCTGCTAAAAACACACTGCTACTACAGTTCCAAGTCATATTATACAGCAGTACGCTAGGTAACGTGGAGAGAGAGACACAAATGCAGCTGGCTCAGAAGCTAATCTGCTGTAAGAGGCAATGGGATTCAACTGAGTGAGACTAGGGACCTCGCTACTATGAATATCATCTCAGACTTGCAATTCCCACTGGCTTTACACATGTACATACATGTATATTAATTATACAAACTCAGCAGAAGTATATACACAGTTTGAACACTTCATCCCTGAAATAACGACATCATTGTAACTTCTCCCCAAGAACTATGCAACATTTAACCCCTGAAATGAAATGAGGACACCTCCCTAACTTTCTTACAAAGAACGGTAATATTTAACCCCTGAGAAAGCTCTCTAGCAAGGACACCTTTTCTATCTCCAAAAACAGTTACTTGCAATTCAATAAGGACACCCCACTAATAATAGACACTTTATTCTGTCCCATTAGTGTCCGGATTAGAGGAGTTCCACTGTAGCTCACTCCCCTATCGTCTAACATGGTTACAACACACGCCACGACGACACACCTTCCGATGTTTGCGCGTAGCCTCGCGTGTCCAACGACACAACCACACGTGTAGTAAGAAAGCCGGTGGTACCGTAACGGTGGTAAAAACTAGGGTAAGGGTGCATTCTTGTGGAGAATGCATAATACCACTTACTATAGTAACGCATTAAAAAAAATTGCGTTTGGGGACTTCACTGAAAATAATTTACACTACCTACTTTCGTCTTTATTCTGAACGATCATTAACGCAATATAAAATTTTGGGAGCAAAATTTTCCCTCTATAATTTAAATCGGCCTTTGTGTGTATATACATATGTAGGTCTATGGTGTATAATTATTATACTTGGAGAAATATTTATGTGGTGCTATGTACCATTCACTGTATACATAAGAGTATGTGTACACACACATTGTACAATTGTATACATCATCGGAATGCAATGCGCGGCATACAATCACCCCTAGATACATACATGTCCGCTCAGAATGAAAAGATTCCCGGAAAAGTCTAGCAAAGGTTTTGACAGTGAGCGTAGCCACGCAAACAGACTGACTGACACTAGTTTCACACCGCGTGTGAATAAAGTTGAGACTTAAACTCACACACACCTAACATACAATTGAACGTTGCGCATGTTCGAAAACAACCACACAATGCAGTGTCACGGCTACACATGGAGTTCCTACTCTACATTGAGACGAACAAAAGGTGTATATACATTGTATGTAATTATGGGGAGATAGGTGAACTAAATATTCCTCTTACTTTTAACAATAACCAATTACTTTCTCTCTCTAGCATTAATCACCACAAATTTCACAGAGTCAGGTTTCCATATAAGTATATACGTACGTTTCGTGAGTACATGTTTTTTTCGGGTTTTAATTGCGAGAAGTACAGTAAATTGGCTGGCTATTGGATAGATGGTACATCGTGTACTTTTCAGCACGTGCAGTTGCTAACGCATCACTTGGCCTCGTTACCAGTAGGCATCGTAAACTGCCACGTCCTTTTTGGGCAGTTGCGCAATGGCTGAAATTACACACAGTAGGCATAGCTCTTGTGTGCATACCATGTGTGTGCTATAATAGCCAGGGTCCAGGTCATAAATGGCTGGTCCTTTCTTTCCTACACAGCCAAGCAGCTGCGCACAATCACCGTATATTGTAAACGGGACAGACGAGGTCATACTGCTGTATCCCTTTGAGAAACACAGCAGCTGACACTGTACCATAACAGACAGCTTGCTCCTACTTCTCTCTTCACCGACACAGATTTTCACTCCACCGCCACTAAGAACGAGCGTACTACGTCTTCGTATATACCGTAACGAATCGCCTTCTCTCATATCCCACTTGCGAACAAAGCAGTTCTACTACCGAAGAGTGCAGTAGGCACTCGAAAACGGGACGCTGAACGAGGAGCATAACAAAGGTGCTACGTTACACGCGTCTCGAGAATGGGGAGCGCTCGAGCGAAATACACAAGCATCATCGCCGACAATCACGGCGTTTTGGAACCTCGTTCGTCCCCCTCCCTCTCTCACTCTCCCCTTCTCTCTCTCTCTCTCGGCCTACCCGCCCCCAGATAGCTAGCTAGGAGGCGTTAGCTAGCTAGCTCTCACCAGTTCTTCCTTGATCCAAGCCATGGCCGTGGTGATGTTATGAAGACGATCTCTGATCGGCCGTCTCTTCCCGTCCCCGATTGTAATGGGCGGCGGACTGTCGCTCGTGTGTCGACCCATCGTCCCGTTCTCTCGCACTACGACTGTCGTTGAGTTCGTTGCAGCAGTTGACGCCCTCCCGTTTCTAGTAGACCAGCTCGAGTCGTAGGCTCTGTAGTTACCGTACATCACTAGGCACCCCGCGGATCTATGCAGCGATGCACAGACGGTGCAACTTCTTCTAGTTACTACACTCCAATCGTTTTAGTTGTCCTCTTCCGATTGTGTCTGCATAGCGCATACATACGCGTGCGTTATTTCATTTTCAGCCGGCCACAGCTCCGCGCGCGCACACTCGATGAATCGGTTTTAATTATCTATGAATAATATTATAGTGGCGCCTCCGTTTTTAGCGCCAACATACACACAATAGAACGGCAGAGATTCAGTGGACCTGCATGCTGGATTAGATAGCAATTAGAAGCAATGACAAAAATAATGGCTGTTATAGATTGGTAATACTGTTCAGCGCCTTCAAAAGAATAAAGGGCACAACCTATAGTACTTTCTCTTAATAATACATTGGTGTATTATAGTCACTTTTGAGTAAAGGCACTTTCCATGTCTTCAAGGTATATACCATAGGTTTAACCATGGCATTGTAGTATAACACAAGTATACAAAAGCACCCTTGTCATAAAGTTCCAGGTATGAAGCCGCTAAGTGTAAGTAATTAGGGAACCAATTGCAGGAGGAAGTGACCTGCTGTAGTAAAGCCTGAGAAAGTTAATCATTCCAGGAACACGTGTATTCGATGATGAGCTGATGAAACTCCACCTGTCTATGGTGCATACCTTCCTGGTCTAGCTTCCCCTCCTCAAAATTCCCGGGTACAATGGGCTTTAGTTGCATCAGTCTGTATTAACTTTCAAGGAGACAGATTACAAAATGCATGATATATTCACACTGTCATCTAACGTTTTCTTAAAATAATACTGCCATTTCTACAGTATTCAACATAGCTACACAACAAGTGGTAGTATTTGTGATGCACACACGAATACACCATTTCTGATGCTAGATACACAAATATGTATATATATATACCTACACAGAAAATCCACCTGTCTATGGTTCCTGGCCTTTCTATCACTCACAGTCGTCACTCACAGCAGGGAGCATCTGCATAAACTGAACCAATCTTCCACAGAGACTGATGCAACAAACTGCACGATGTTCACAGTAATCCCTGCCCATCCCATGCATTCTTGATAGATGGTTTTTGCATGATGGTTTGTGAGATACAACTATCTACCACTCTTGAATATTTGTGACTGATAAGTGTAGAAAGAAAAAACCATCATGGTATATATAGTCAATACTAGCCAATATCTCGTTTCTGCTTGATACTGGTAATGCTGGTCAACGTTACTAGATATGGCTAAAACGCTGTATTATGTTGGCATGAAGAGTAAAGCTGCATGTCCTCATATGCATTACTCAGTATCTTGAGTCTTCAGAAGTTAGCTGTAAACACAAACATCACGCACGCGCATGTGCGCGCATTATGTTTGAGCCTTTATGCGCATGCGCAAAAACTGCGCGCGCAACGGTCGCACACATTCGAGCCAGACCCTCTATGAGACTACAAACTTTATACATCCAAACATCACCAGTGAGAATGTGTGTACAAAAAGATTATAACAACTCGTGGATACAAAAATACATGCGCATAAAAACAGACAAACGCGGCTCTATCTGACAGGCAAGATATCTGGGCAAAGTCTTGGCTTGATGACAAAGTCAGTGGTGGGATTTGCTTCGTAGAGGAGATACATGTTGGTATCAGGAGGTAGACATCTCTCAACTGAGGAAAGAGTAATTAAAAGGTTTGCTCGGCACTGTCAAAACAGTAGGAAAAAAGTCATTTGTGGAGAATAAATCTTGGAGTATATTATATGTAAACATACTGCAATACGTGAAATGTTATTCAGCTCATGCCAAAAAGGTCTCAGTAAGTTCAGTTAAGTTCTTGTGTATATATTCACTCTCCTTCTATTCATTAATGTCCACATAAGATAGTTTAGCGACATTATAATTATCGCTAGGAGGAAATAGGTGAAAAGTTGACCTATAGAATTCTCTCCCTCACCTATGTTGCCACCGACTTCGTGAAGAAACATTGGCCCTGTGACCAGGTGGGGGTCAAAGTCCCCACTAGCCACCTCACCCTCCTGACAGAACCTGCAGAATGAAGAATGAGGAGAGGAGGCAAAAGTCTATATTATAGCTCTTGTTGCTTGAACATCAAATTTCTCTTGATGCTTATAATAACAACTTGGGGAATTGAAAAATTACTCAGCTGGAGGGAAATCTGTCACCTTTAATCTTATTCCTCTCCTCTTTTTCTCCTAACTTTTCTCCCTCTCCATCCTTTCTCTCTTATTCTTTCCCTTCTCTCTCCTCCCTCCTCTCCCTCACTTCCACTCCCCCTCTCTTCCTTCTCTCTCCTCCCTCCTCTCCCCCACTTCCACTCCCCCTCTTTTCCTTCTCTCTCCTCCCTCCTCTCCCTCACTTCCACTCCCCCTCTTTTCTTCTCCCTCTCTCTCTCACCTCTTCTTGATAAGGTCCTTATTGAGCTGTGTCTTGTGCTCAAATTTCTCTAGAACATCGGCGGCTGATGTGTCAGCCTTGAAATGGAAGTTCTTTCTCACACACAGGTACAGAGGTCCATAGATTGGCACCATGTAACTGTTTTTCTATAGAGGAACAATAGGGGAAAAGTGAGGGCTATAAAATTATAGCTTTTGGAAGTAAAATAGTTTATCGCGTTTATGTGTACTAAATAGTGATACTGTTGCTTTGGTAGTGTAACTGGGCAAAATATCATTCAAAAGTGCACTATGGTCATGTCTTATAATGACATAATTTTACGTAATGTTTCACAGAACCTTGTGACCAAGGATCACTGGATCACTTGTATAAAAGCAACAAAAGCAGTCTCAGCCTGCAGGCCTAAAAACACTAGTTGAGTGGGAATGATGTAATACCTTCTCAATGACGGGCTCTCTGTCCTGAGCCAGTTTGGTGGCCTTCTGGAGGTTTCTCTGATTAACCCTTTTCACCTCACATTCATTGAGGACACGAACCTGCTGCAGCAGGTCTGGAGGAATCTGGAGATGAAGAGGTAGAGAGTGAACAATAAGAAGATGTGGAAAGAAACAGAGTATCATATTATAAGGCTATTGTGTTTTCACACTGGACGAAAGCTTCTAAAGTGTATAATCTCACAGGAAAGGCACACAAACGGCCATCTTTCCTTAATAAGGACTTAATGTGTTGATCCTTTGTGACGCCATGCATGGACTAGGTCATGTGACCCCGGACCAACAGAGTGAATATATCAGGCATTTTGTAATCATGTCTCCTTGAAAAGTTAATACAGATGATGCAACTAAAGCCCATTGTACCTGGGAATTTTGAGCGCCGAGGGGAAGCTAGACCAGGAAGTATGGCACCATAGCACCAGAGGTCGGCATCCAGGGAGTATCATCAGGTTCCGCGTATCATCGAATACACGCTGTTCCTGGGAATGATTAACCGTTTCTCCAGGCTTTAACTACAAAGCATTGTCACTTCCTCCTTGCAATTGGGGTTCCCTATAGTATTGTGTACTTACACTGATATGCGGCTTCCATTACCTGAGAACTTTATTGACAAGGGTGTGTATACTTGTGTTATACTACAATGCCCATGGGTTTAAACCTATGGTATATTACCTTGAAGACGATTGGAAAGTGCCTTTACTCAAAAGTGACTATAATACACCATGTTATTAGAAGAGAAAGTACTATAGGTGTTGTGCCCTTTTATTCTTTTGAAGGCGCTTGAAACAGTATTACCAATCTATTAACAGCCATTATTTTGTCATTGCTTCTAATTGCTATCTAATCAGCATGGCAGGTCCCACTGAATCTCTGCCGTTTCTATTGTGTTGTATGTTGGGCGCTTAATAAAACGGAGGCCGGGCGGCCACTAGTTTGTTAATATAATTAATTGAGATATTGAGAATTACCGATTTCATTCGAGTGGTGCGCGCGCGGAGCTGTGGCCGGCTTGAAAATGAAAATAACGCACGGCGTATGTATGCGTTTATTGCAGACCACAATCGGAAGAGAGGCTCGAGGACAACTTAAATCGGATTGGGGAGTGTTGTGTTGAAATGGAGCTAAGTTAGAAGAAAGTTTGCGCACCTCTGTTGGCTATCGCTTGCATAGATCCGGCGGGGGCTTGCCGTGGATGTATGGCGGTGTAACTACAGAGCTCTGGGACTCGAGCTTGCTTCTACTTAGAAACGGGCAGTGGTGAAGGTTGGGGGCCGGGGGTTCAAACTTGGCTGCATGAACGATGCTCAACGACAGTTCGGTATGGGGTTTTTGTTTGGTGTTTTTTTTGGGGTTTTGTTGGGGGGGAGGTTAGTGCGAAGAACCGGGAGACGATGGGTCGACACACGAGGCGACAGTCCCGCCGCCCATTACAATCGGGGGACGGGGAAGAGACGGCCGATCAGAGATCGTCCTTCATTTAACATCAACCACGGCCATGGCTTTGGATCAAGGGAAGAACTTGGTGAGAGCTAGCTAGCTAACGCCTCCTTAGGCAGCTATTACTGGGGGGGCGGGTAGGCCTGAGGAGAGAGAGAAGAGAAGGGGAGTTGAGAGTGAGGAGAGGGAGGGGGCGAACGAGGTTCCAAAACGCCGTGATTGTTCGCGATGATGCTTGGGTATTTCGCTCTTCCCCATTCTCGAGGACGCGTGTAACGTTAGCACCTTTGTTTATGCTCCTCTGTTCATGTCGTCTCGTTTTCGATGGTGCTACTGCACTCTTTCTCTCAAAAGTCGATGTAAAGTATAGCATAGAGACTGCCTTGTTACGCTTATATGTAGTAGGGATATGAGAGAAGGCGATGTTCTGTACCTACGTATGCTGGATGCACAAAGGATATTATACGATAAGTATTCAGTCTAGAAGAGTAAACGCTCGTGCGCTTCACTCATAAGGTTGTTGGGAGTGTGTATAATACATCATAGTGTTGCGGTTGTGTAAGACGACGGAGAAAGTTAGAGTGCAATGTGCGTGTATGTGAGTAGACTTAGGGCCAAGCAAATACCGACAAAGAAAGTAGTGCAAAAGCCTGCTGTGATTTCTCAAAAGGAAGAATACAGCAGCTATGCCTTGTCGTGTCCCGTTTACATAAATGCTAAGAAAGGTGATGTTGACTTAACCAAGAACTGCATGATTGGGGACATGATAAAGGAAAGAGAGTGATTTACAGTGTAAGCGGAAAGAAAGGACCTCAGGTCATTTTATGACCTAGGCGATCACGCCTGTGATATTTTATATAGCATCGACCACCACATGGTATGCAACACAAATGAGCAACTATGACCTACTGTGTCGTAATTCAGCCATGGCGCAACTTAGTACCTCAAAAAAGAGTTACCTAATTCAACACGTCGTGGGCAGTTACGATGGCCTACTGGTAACGAGGCAAGTGATGACTTGTACTCAGATGTGTCCAACTGCCACGTGCATGACAAGTACACGACTGTAGACCATCTTATATCCGGACAATAAGCCGACCAGAATAGAGCTTTATACTTTGTAAGTAATCTCCAATTATAAAGAAGCTGACCGAAAAAATATCTATGTAACTCACGAACGTACGTATTGGAAAACCTGACTCTTGAGTGTACACTTTGGTGGATGCGGACTTCACTCTAATTGCTACCTGAGGATGAGAAGGAGTAATTCGATATGGTTAAAAGTATATTGAGGTTAGAGATGATTGAGAGGTTCACCTATCTCCCCATTGAGATTACGATACAGAGGTTGTGAAGTGACTGACCACCTTCTTTGTTTTCGTCTCAATGTAGATGTAAGTATATATGTGTAGGCCGGTGACAATAATAACACTGCACTTGCGTGTGCTGTCTATGTTGCTCTCGAAACTATGCGCAAACGGATATAATGTTGTGCTGATGTTCAGGTGTTATGGTGGCAAAGCAATCAGTGTACTGTCTGGTCAGGAGAGGGACCGGGAGCTGTCTGTGGAGACGAGAAAGAGAGGGGAGGGGAGATGGTGTGTTGAATCGCGCTATTGTGATTCATAGTTCTTACTTTATTCACTAACGTCGGGTGCG